ATAATTTTATAGCTTTATCTATCTCATCTACTTCAAACGTTTCTTTACCTTTTATGGGAGCACCATACATTTTCTCAAACTTTTCAAGTAGTTCTGTTTCTGCAGCTCTCATATCATTAACGAACACAACCTTGACTCTATTGACTGTACTGTCATATCTTTGAGTTATATTATATGTTCTTCCTATCTTATATCTCTTTGTATTGAAGTCCTTCGGTTTCTGAACGATGTAAAGTAAGCCTTCACTGCAACGTTCCGTATCGAATGAACCATATGTTATGAAGTTATATCCAACAACTGGGTCAATCCATAACAAAACTATTGGTATAAGACTTTTGTCGATGAGATATGCTGTAGTTCCATAGAATCTTACCGATATCATAAGCTCAGGATTTCTTGTCAAAATTTTCTGACTAGAAGCAATTCTAACCCAGTCCTTTGTTTTCTTTCCAGATGGAGATATAATGTCTGACAAAGAATATTTGTTTGTATTTCTTTGAGTATCTTACGTTTAAATCACCTATTCTAACCAATTTGGTGTCATTGTCTATCTTTTTAACTGTTTCAAACTCAATGTTTGTCATTTCTGTTCTTACATACAAAATAAAAAAATAAATAAAAATAAAACTAACTTTATTTTTTTGTCTTAAGGAAATTCATGAAAAGTGTCATTTTTTTCATGTCCGAAGACTCGAAGGTGCAACACTTCCAAAATACCGACGAACTCAGAAGAGCAGCATGGCAGTATCTTCTTGACAACTTCTTTTGAGTTCTCCAGGTACACCTTGGAAATGCTGAAGAACTCCGACACAGAGAATTTGGAGAAATTGCACTCCAATACTACCTTGACAAACAAAGGGTAAACAAAGGGTAAAATAAGACTAAAAACTTAACGTTTAAAAAGTGACATTTTTATGAGCTCCGAGTCACCGAGAAAACTTGGTCAGATGTTAGCAGCTTACTTCCCTGAGGAGGATGGAAGCGTTACATACGTAAGGTTCAAACACAACGAACCTGGAATTGCGTACAAAATTCGCAATTACATGACCATGGAAGAGTACGAAAGGTTCCTACAAGAGAAACCAGCTCTAAACAACTCAGAAAAGAAAGAATAAAAAGTTTAACTCGTAATTGTTTATTTTTTTTACTTGTATGGGCAAGCTGCAAGAATGAAGTCGACTATCTCAGTCTTTGTTTTGACGAGCTGGACGGCTCTTGCGAGTACGTCTGTTTTTGCGGTCTCCAGCTGGTGTCTGACCTTCGTAATTGCGCATGTTCTTGAGAGCTCCAACTGTAAATGATTGTAGGATGAAGAGTCTCTCAGACTGCTTGAGGTAGTCGTCACGGTCACGAACTGAATCTGTGGTACGAGTCGAATCGGTCGATTTGAGGGAAGAGACTGAAAAGCCTGTCGTCTTCCATCGGGGCTGTGGCATAATCTTTGCGTAAGCGGTTCAGACCTTCTTCGAACTCTTGGTCTCTCTTCGATTTGGATTGAGATTGGAATTGCTGGGTGGAGCTTGCTGGAACATCCAAGGGTTGGGGAAGTAAGGCATAGGCTGAGGAGGAGGGTAGTTCGGGAAGCCTTGTGGTGGGTAGTAACCTTGAGGTGGAAATTGGTAGTAACCTTGAGATGGAAATTGGTAGTAATTTGGTGGAGGGACTTGCTGGAATGAGGTTGCTGAGGAGACTGTTGTGGTTCTGCAGCTTTCGGTTCTTCTGGCTTTGGAAGGCATTCAGGAAGAGGAACGTCAGTCATCCGTTTGTGTCCTGTCGGAAGGAAAAATTTTTCCTGTCGGAAGGAAGAACTTTTTCTGTCGGAAGGAAACTTTTTCTGTCGGAAGGAAGAACTTTTTCTGTTGGAAGGAAAAACTTTTTCTGAAGTTCGACCAAAAAGTTCTCAATTTTCGAAAAATTTGAATGGTTTACGGACGGACAACTGGAAGAGTTCTTCCTGTCGGAAGGAAAAATTTTTCCCTTTGTCCGGAAAATTTTTTCCAGTTGTCGGGAAAATATTTTCCTGTCGGATGGAAGGACTCGGAATGCCAGAAGGATTTGACGAGGCAATTTACCTAATTGAAATTAACGACTGCGTAAAAGACTACTTGCGCAGGGTAATGAAGCCCAAGGTCAAGTTCACCACTATTTCTGGAAGGTCTACACTTCAGCTCGAGACTTCGACTGGAATTCCAATTCAAATACCAGACGGGACAGCCTACGATGGCATAAAGGACGCCAAAAGAGAAGCTCTTGTTAAGTTCCTAAACAACGTCCTTGGATAAAAATACCAAACAAGGAAACCCCCTACCCCATATGAAATTGGCAATTCAGTCTCTCCTTCACTTCTCGGGTCAGCCGTTCTACATAACTGTGAAGGCGACATCCAACCAGTACTGTAAACCTTAACGTTTAGAGTAAAAACATTTTTTTTTCATTTTTTGAATGAAGCAAGTTAAATTCGTCCCACACCAATCTGAATGGACCGATGAAGAGTTTCAAGCCATCGTTGAAGACGTTGAGAACGACATAGACGGCGAACTTAAAGGAGCTCAAATCACAATTGCAACCAAAATTGCAGAGGTCAAGGAACAGATAGCTCCACTTAAAGCTACCAAAGCTACTCTTGACCTCATGGATAGTTTACCGTTTAGATGTCAAGAGTGGAATAAGACAATTAAAATTAAAACTTCTAAACTACGAAGCTATACTCCAAAAGTTAGCAGAAATGAGAAGACTTTACCAGAGCTACTTACATGTAAGGGACTTACTTCAAGCAGTCCGACAAAGATGAATTTGTTGACATTGTCCCAATTTTGTCCGAAAGTCAGCTCAGATGTTTCGAACTGCTCCCAACATATCCGGAATATGAACGTTTGCCTGAACTCTTTCGGTTCCTCAAAAAACGTTTTTTGGTTCTCATGTTCCAAACTTTTATCGGAAGAGACAACAAACGTTCAGAAGAAGAACAAGATATTATTTTAAACTTGTTGTATGACATAACTGTCATAACAAGCTTTTTGAAGTAAAACCGCCATTCTCAAACCACTTCATTTTTTCGATGTCCGAACAAGCACCGAAGCCAAACTCAATGGCAGATGTCCTTTCAAGGTTGCCAGAAAAGCGCCCAGTTCAAATTCAAATTGCCCAATTGAACGCTCATCTGTCAAACACCATTAAGACTCTCCAAAGTAGTCTTATGGAAGAGATAACCAATCTCAAAGTCGAAGTCCTCACGAACCAAGCTTCCAATAAGAAAGTCCTGAACGATTTCGCGGAAACCTTGCGCCAATACAACATAGAGAACCAAAACCTTGCCCGACTCATCTACCGTTTCTTCGAAGAGATAGACGCCATCTGGAAGGTACTCGGAAAGGACAGAACATGCAACACCGTACTTCGTGAACACAGAATTGCCGAAGGTATTATCAAAGAAGAGGAAGAAGAGGAAGAAGAAGAAGAGAAACACGAAGAAAAGGAAGTTTGGGCAACCCTTGTTGTCGATGACGCTTACGAAATTTCCCAACCCTACCCATACAAAATCCGCAACAAGGCGACAGGCAAGGTTCTTACCCCAGTCCTCAACAACTTGGGACACTTGAACCTTAACCTTCGGAATTACGGTTCAGTTTCCATGGGAAGGCTTGTCGGTAATGCAATGGGTTCCAAATCCAGACAAGAAGTCGAGGGTCAGACACATTGACGGTGACAAGCTCAACAACCGTAAGGAGAACCTCGAGTGGTTCTAAGAGTAAAAAATTTTATTTTAGGGGGAAACCCCAAGTAATTTAGGTGTTTAGTTGGATAAGTATGTTAAATTAAGGGTAATTTGCAAAATTAGTTCCCGACCTTTGAATTGGACTCTTTCGTTATCCCAGTTGCGTAGGAGGTCGTCCCAGAGGAGTTGGTAGAATTGCCAATCCAAGGACGATTTGTCCTCCCAGGCATTGAGGATGTACTGCTCGTAGAGTTTCATGACCTCTGCCTTGCACCAGACACCCTCTCCCTTGGAACGTAAGGCTTCTTCGAAGTGCTCGAATGCGATTGGCTGCGTGACCATCCGAAATGACACTTTTTGTCCGTTTGGTCAATGTTCGTGTCTCGTGCCATAGTCGACGAAAATACAGACAAACAGGTTATATATGAGTTTGAGACCAAGAATGGTGTAACTCGACCTGTCCGATTCAAAGACTCCGAGGGCGACCATGAAATTAAACGGAAATTAGCTAGGAAGGAATATAAAAACGTTTTTACTTCATGCAATGTTTTATTTCTGTGCCGTCTTCAAGTATGCCCCAATATTTCCTTTTCGATATTACATGAACTTCGGAAAATACCTTATCTAGCTTAAAACAGCCCATCTTTTCACCGACCATTCCCATTTCAATGAGTTTGTTGTATCCTTCTTCGTTCGTCATGAGTGCGTCAATGTTCTCATAGTAAACCACAACTTTCGATTTGACTTCGGAGAAGAATTTGTTGTAGTTGTCAAGGACTGCTTTTGCGAACTGAGGGTAAGACCAATGTTCGACAATAGGTTTTAATGTGGTTACTAAGCCACTTTGACCTTGAGTGAATTCGTACTTCAAAACAAAAGGAGAAAACCTTTCAACAAAGTTGTCGACCTTCTCATAATGTTTACTCTTCATCTCTTGAGGTTTCTTAATGGAATATCCCCATGTCGAATTCATAAGCAATTTGAGTGTCATTGCAAGTTTGGGGTTTGAAGCTTTCCTAATATCATACAGTTGTTGTATGACTTTTCCAACTGTATAGTTCCTTCCCGGGAACTCACCATCTTCGTTTGGAATTCCAGTCGGAATATATTGGACAAACCTCATGTATGCAGCGTTAAGGTCGACATAGTATATCTTTTCATCTGAGTCGAACTTGTCGCAACCAATTGGTCCAGTTTGTGGAAATTCAAGTGAGTCTCTTATCTTCTGAGAAACTTCTCCTGTTATCTCATAAACATCGTCGAAGCAACCTGTTTCATATAAAACCTTCTGACCTAACTCAGATGCTCTCCAATACAATTTGACGTCAATTGGATGTCTCAATGGAAGTTTGTTTATAGCATCTTGAAGTTCTTGCAACCTCATTGGAAGTTCTTCTGGTTCAGGTTGGTATCCGAACAATCCAACTCCTTGTGGAATTGTGTACTTCTTTTGTACTAGAACTTTGTCTGGAACAACTTTTGGTCTTGCTAACAATGAAAAGTTTGTTTCGTCTTTTGGTACAAAAGTTTCTGTCAGCTTGTCATCTGGAATTGGTTCCAACAAACCTTTCTCGAAAAGAATGTTTACAGCTCTGACAATGTTGCACTTGCCTTTTCCGAACAATGGGTTTGTAAGACTTTCGTTCAACATGAAGTGGTTGTGGACAATTACAATCTTCAACCATGGTAAGTCTTTGTCAACAACATAGTCGTCATGTGAAGAACCTTTAGCTGTAGGTATGCTGACTCGGATATTGACATTTGCCAACGGTGCAATTTTTGCCAATTGACCTCTGAGAATGTACCTTGTCTTCACACATGACTCAAGATACTTCATCTTCTCTTCTGTAACAAGACCAGAGTTCCTGAGACATGTAAGAATGCAAGGTTCATTGACAATTGTTTCAATTGAATTGTAAATTCCATACCTTGTCAAGTCAATGTCAGACTTATTTATGAAGGGGAAGTATCCAGCATGTTGTCTGACTGCTTGAGGGTTAGGTTGGTACCATTCGAACTTGACACTTGCAATTCCTTCAATTGCATTCAAAATGTCTGAGTCGGAGTCAACCATTTGTTCTCTCTTTGTAGTCTTGAAAGCGTCAAGAAGCATTGCAGCTGTTGTGACATTGCCATGTGCATAGTAAATGTGACCATCCAAATCTGTTATGGTCAATCTGAGATTGTATCCTTTCTTATTTCCATCTTGTATGGCAGCAAGTACACCCATGAAGCCTTCTTTGTTCTTTCCTTCGTCAAAGTTTACTGTAAAGGTTCGACCAGAAGTAATTTGACTTCTAACTTCACGGTACTTCTCATATGCATATCTTGTTCTTTCCATGGGAGCATGTGCGTCTTCACCTTTTCCTTTTTTCCTTCTCAAAGGATGCAATTGTTCGTCATGTTTCCAGTAGAATCTGGCAAAGCCGTCGTGTCCTTCAACTTGAGGTTCACTAACATCGAAAGGCATGTCCATAAGACGTTCTTCTTCTAACCTCTCTAGTCTGTTTGGATAATTGGCACGTGCTGTTTCCAAATCCATTTCGTAGCGAAGACCAGACAATTTGTCATAGACTTTTATGGGTCTTCCCTTCCTATATTTAAAATTCTTCGAAACTCTCCAACCATATCTTTGTAACTCTGCTTTTATTCTAGCAGACTTTCTATCCATTCTATATGGGGGCATTTTTATAAAAATAAAAAAATATTTTTTTTTTTCTTTACATAACCGCCTGCTGCCATAAGTCTTTGACGCCAACCCATACCAGCTAATGAAGGTTGACTTGGTTTAGTTTCCAAACTAAACTTTGGTTTTGGTTTATCTTCAGTTTTTGGTTTTTCTTCTTCTATCGGTTTTTCGTCACTTTTCGGTTTCTCTGACTTTACTTCACTTGCAGGAACAGTTGTGTCGTCAACATCTTCATAAATATCATATGCCATTTGTTTTTGTTTTCCTTTCAACTTTTTGTGTTTGTTGTAAAGTTTAGAATATTTCGACTCTAAGTCAATGAGATGTTCTATAATGAACTGTTGGTCAGTGAAGTAAACTTTTCCATCTGTTGTCTCGAAAGCTCCTTCAGACTTCAATATTTTATTTGTGAGAGTCTGTTTCTTTTTTGAGATACTTGCCGTTCCATTTTTATGAAAAGTGACTTTGTAGTTAGGGTTTGTATTTCCAGACCTGGCACTTTCTATTATTGAATTTTTCTCTTCATCTGTAAGTTCTTTGACAGGTTTTGACAATGGTTCTGAACTTTTTGTTTGTGGTGTCAAATCTACCGTTTCAACTTCTTCGGTCATTTCATCTCAGTAAAAAATTTTAGTTTGGTTTGTTTTCAACTGGTTGTTGTTGTTTTTTAAGTCGGTCTAAAACTTCCTGAGGTATAGGAAGAACTTGACAAACACGTTGTTAACTGCTGGAAGCCGACAAATCCATCTTGAACCCATTTGTCTCAATGCTGTATTGTTCATTTCATCTCAGTAAAAAACTTTACATTCCCCACGTTTGAGGCGGTTGAGGTTGGTTATTGTTTACCCATTGTTGTGCATGGTTATATCCTCTGTTAAAGAATCTTTCACCTTGGTCCATATAGTGTCCTGCTTGGTTATAGTAGTCATTTGCTTTGTTATAATAGTTTCCTGCTTGTCTTCCTACATTGTCCATCCATCCTTGAACTTTTCCTCTTGTTTCAGGATTTGGAATAAGATTTGTTGCATCTCGTGCTACATCCCAACCTTTCTGTACAGTTTGTATAATAGGTTGTGCTTTCTCTTTAAGTATACCTAATGTACTCAAAATCTTCCTTCCAACTCCAAATACACCTCTGGCTATTGTTCCCACTGCGGGCAAAAATCTGGATGCAACTCCTGCTAATGCGCCAAATAAACCCATTTCTTATAGGATAAAAATGACGAATCCAAACAAGGACCCTATGTTTCTAAAGCGACAAAGAAAGCACTCATGGTAAAAATCTTTAGTTCAACACCAAATGCTTGGTTTATGGATATCTTGGAAAACATTCCGAGGTATAGAGAAGATGGACCACCATACTGGTAATATTTGTCGGTCAAAACACAAGATACTGTGAAGCCATACCATTATGGTCCAAAAATATTTTAGATGTGAAAACTGCTTTGACAATATTCGTTGACAAATACCATCCAACAAAACTGACATCTGACTGTGAAAGTTCTTTCAAATCAGATGATGTAAAAAACTATCTGCGTTCAAAAAATGTAAACCAATATTTCATTGTCGACCAAAACCATTCTGCTCTTGGTGTCATTGACGGTTGTATAAAAATGTTAAGAGACTTAAACCAACCACAAGGTGGTGAAGCAAATGAAATGTCATATGACGACAAATATAGACACTTCTCCATGGCAAAGATGAGACAAGTTTTAAATATTTACAATAGCCGTAAACAAAAAGGTTTGGGAAACCACTCCCCCGAAGAAATGAAAAACAACCCTGACTTAGAGAAAGACTATATATTTAATAATTTAGTCAAAAGAGACAAACAAGAAAGAATGCCGGGCTTCAAACTTCAGAAAGGTGACAAAGTAAAAATAGAAATACCTAAACGCGACCCATATGAAAATACTATTGACTATGACAACAATGGGAACCCGACAGGTACTCACATTCGTGTTCGTAAAAATAGAAGAAAGTATACAAGAGAATATTATGAAGTTTTAGGCAAACATGGCAAAATGTACAGACTGCAAGCAGAAGATAAAACTACTATTGTCAGACCTCGTTTCAAACTTGTCAAAGTTCAAGGTGGTATACTTTCAAAGACAGTTCCTAACAAATATAAGACAACTCCTGACGAATATGCTAAAGAAGTTGAAAATGACGACTAAGCAATTCTATACCATGCGTAAACTGTCATGTAAGGTGGCATGTAGTCTTTACCCAAGCCTGTTGGATTTGTTGTGAAAGTATGGACATGATTTCCTCCTGGTTCAGTTGGTCGAAAAGTCTTTTTAGCAAACTTAACGTTGTCTTTAACATAATATCCTTTACCTTTTATCATTGCTGACCAATCCAATATCTATGCTTATGCCAACCTGCTTGAGATGTACTTAAATCTATGTAGTGACTGTGTGCAGGTAAATTTTCACCTGAAATCGTTTTACTTCCACCTGTTTCCTTTGAAGATTTGCACAATACAAAAACCTGTCGACTATTTGAGTCCAAGTTCCAAAACCAAGTACTACTTCTGGTCTGGTAGAGTTTCATTGACGTATAAATAGAGCCTATAGGATATAATGTTTGAAGTATTTCTGTCTTTAATGTTTGAAGCTCTGTTTTGTCTGCTTTCTTGTCATATAAATCTTGAGCAGTGAATTTAATATTATGTTCATCCTTCATGACATAAACATCTTTACATCTAATGTTTCTCATCGTCGTTATGTCGTCATCCGATGTTAAACCTTGTGGAAAGTTAGGAGGTTTACAATATAATGCATCCCCACCAGTTTCTTCAACCGTTCCTTCAATACTTTCTATAGCAACAGTTGTGAAAAATCATGTGTATGGTTCTTGTCTGCTTTCTTTCAAGGCTAACGTTTAAGTCTGTTATTTCAGATATAGAATGTGTATGTCCAACGGCACTTTTACTGTTTAAGGTCTTGTAAGTTTGTAATATTTGCAATGGTATGTGTATGGTTCTTGTCTGCTTTCTTTTCAAGGCTAACGTTTAAGTCTGTTATTTCAGATATAGAATGTGTATGTCCAACGTCACTTTTACTGTTTAAGGTTTCTTGTAAGTTTGTAATATTGCAATGGTATGTGTATGTCCAACGTCACTTTTACTGTTTAAGGTTTCTTGTAAGTTTGTAATATTTGCAATGGTATGTGTATGTCCAACGGCACTTTTACTGTTTAAGGTTTCTTGTAAGTCTGTTATTTCAGATATAGAATGTGTATGAGTCTTTTTAGAATATTCGTTTTCAGCTCTTGTCACTTCACTTGACATTTTATTGTCAACATATGTTTTGTCTGCTAGTTCAGGATGAGTATGTTCTTTTGTTGCATAAGCATTGTTAGCTCTTTCTTCTTCTTTGCTATTGCATCGTCTACATATTCTTTGTCAGCTTTGTTGTCAACATCTGTTTTCAAAAGAAGTTCATTTATAGGTTTCTCGTTTAAAGTTCCTTTTGTTGGATTTATACAGACAGTATGGTTCTTATTGTCTTGAAACAGAAACTCATCTGTCATTGGGTTTATTGTCAGTTTTAAGTTTCCTTCTTTCAATGACTCAGATATCTTAGAATAGTTTGAAAAGTTTGTTGTGTTCTTATTTAGAGCTTGCATAATGAGTTGTCGGTTGTGTTGTATTTCTCTCATGGAAGCAATATCTTTCGACATTTTTATTCTAGATAAAATATGCTTCCAATAGAAAAAGAAAATTCAAGAGTTGCTACAACTAAACCATTAGATGAACTTTTTACTAATGTCGGTCAAAAGTTTGAGACAGAGACCGTAAAGCATGAAGGCTATCGTTTTGACTACCCATTAAGATGGCTAAGAGACCCATCTGTCACAAAAGCTATTGGCTTTCGTAGAATGAAGTTCATTTCAGAAGCCATACATGGTTTCCCATTTACGGTCGGTTTTGAAGTTCGATACTATAACAAAGAAAAACGTATGTATGAGAAATTTGAACAGGGAAAACTTTTACAAGTTAGTTTGCTTGTAAACTTAGAAACAACTCTTCAAGCTTTTCAAGAAAAAATAAACGATATCTATATCGAATATGCAAAACAGTATAACATTGACGAAGGAGAATACCATCTCGATATTATTTATGACAGGAAAAATGCAACTGTTAAAATCAATAGAATAGAAGACCTTGGAGAAAACGTTTATATTTCTACAAAATATAACAACTTGGCATGGTATAGATTTATGAGGATGTTAAATCAGCCTGCAGCATATCCAGTACACCCGGACTATTATGAAGTCGAAACCCTAATGGAACATATAAAATATTTTCGACCCAGATGCTATTATTGTTCATGCTTCATTTTCTGGCGCCCAAAACTCTTTCTTATGCTTGGCAAATGACTTTTACGAAAAACCTACAAAGTTATACGAACCACCAAGTGGAAGTATTTCAGACTTTCAAGTATGGTTTACTACAGATGGAAGAAAAAGAATAATTCCATTATACCATGCGTTTTACTTAGAACTTAGTTTCATATACAACTACTATCGAACGGTAAAAATATAATTTTTTAATATACCGGTTGTGGTGTTGGATTTGGTTGCCAACTAGACTGTGGTGCAGGTTCAGGCTGTTGTATAACAGGAGCTTGTTCTTCTGGTTCAGG